AGTATATTATTTGTGCTAGGCTCTATCGTCAGCACTTTACATGTGGTAAATTACCTCAGCATTACAAGATAGTTAACAATTATTTTTTGCCATATTAAGATGGAAAACAGAGACATTTAGGAGTGGAAGAACTTATCCAAGTTCAAGCAGTTATTAATAGCACAGTCAAGATCTGAACCCATATGTCGCTTATCATTCAACCATCATGCCATACTTCAGAGAATGAAATCATGACACCGTACTCCTGGCTGAAGAGCAAGGGTGGCGACTGACTAATGTTACACAGTGTGATGTGAAAGGGAAAACTTGGTGAGAGGTCTATGGTAGCTTATAAGAAGGAAGTAATTAGCTCTGGATGTTTTAAATTACCTTTTTAAAATAATTTTTAAAAGATTTTATGTTCGTATGTATGTATTTATATACAGAGGGGAGGGAGTGAGAAAGAGAGGGAGAAAGACATCAATGTGTGGTTGGCTCTCATGTGCCCCCTACTGGAGACCTGGCCTGCAACCTATGCATGTGCCCTGATTGGGAGTTGAACTGGCCACCCTTTGGTTTTGTAGCCCAGCACTCAATAAACTGAGCCACATCAGCCAAGGCTAAATTATTCTTCAGCATATCCCCAAAGTAGCAAAGAGTCCCTCTAATGAGAACTCTTTTCTTTAAAATATTATTAGTAATAGAAAAAAATGTTAATGTTGTTTCTACTTTAGTATTTTTTTCTAGGGCATAACTTACCCTTAAGCTTGATGAATCCTAATGTTCCTAAGGTTCTTATGCAAAGCCTCATGGTTTAAAAAAGTTGATATTTTTAGAATCAAAAGTTAGACATTAATGCAAAAATGACAAAAATTTAGCCTTTAATCTTTTCAAGATTTAAAGCCAGAAAAGTGTGAGACTAAAATATTTATAAATATTCTTAAAATCTCTAATTCTTTAGCCATTGTTTGTGGTCTGCTTAGACTACTTTTAAAATCAGTGATAATTAGAGAAAATAAATGCTATCTTCAATAAAAATAAGTTGGGCAGTACTGTCTTTAAATCACATATGGAAAATGAGGAGTTATTAATAAGACCGTGAATATGGTTCTTCAGTGGTCATAAATTTTTGTTATATATATTGTTTTTGAACTCTGAAATTGTCATGAAATATTAAGAAAAATATTGTCCAAAAAAACAACTTCTTATACAAGTCAATTTTAGGCTCAAGTGTTTCTTAACTTAATGTTGTCACCATGTGTTTCCATAGGCCAGACATACAATATGAATGGCCATTAGGCCTTGCCACTTAATTTTGCTAAAATTATCGTATGAAACAAATGAGATTTGTTTATATGATACAAATGTTGGACTCTCTAAAATATATTTTTTAATTTTTTTACCATTTAAACTATTTTATTTTTTACTTTGAAGTATATTTTATTGATTATGCTATTACAATTGTCCCAATTTTTTCTTTTTGCCTCCCTCTATTGGGTCCCCCCTTTCTCTTAAGCAATCCTCTCATTAGTTCATGTCCATGGGTCATACATGTGAGTTCTTTGACTTCTCCATTTCCTATACCATTCTTAATCCCCCCTGTCTATTTTGTACCTACCAATTATGCTTCTTATTCCCTGCAACTTTCCCTCCATTATCCTCCTCCTCCTTCCCCGCTAATAACCCTCCAGGTGATATCCATATCTATGATTCTGTTTCTGTTGTTTGTTTTCTTCATTTGTTTTTTAGATCCACTTGTTGATATTTGTGAGCTTGTTCTCATTTTACTGTTCATAGTTTTGATCTTGTCTTAATTAAGTCCCTTTTGCATTTCATGTAATAAGGGATTGGTGATGATGACCTCCTTTAGCTTTACCTTCTTGGGAAGCACTTCATCTGCCCTTTAATTCTAAGTGACAGCTTTGCTGGATAGAGTAATCTCAGTTGTAGGTACTTGCCTTTCATCACTTTGAATACTTCTTGTGGGTCCCTGCTTGCCAGCAAAGTTTCTTTTGGGAAATCCACTGATAGTCTTATGGGAACTCCTTTGAAGATTACTCTCTGCTTATCTCTTCCTACTTTTCAGTTTCTCTCTTTATTTTTAACTTTTGGCAGATTAATTCCAATATGTCTTTGTATGATCCTCTTTGGGTCCAACTTCTTTGGGACTCTCTGTGCTTCCTGGATTTGTCTGTGTATATCCTTTGCCAAATTGGGGAAGTTTTCTTTCATTATTTTGTCAAATAAGTCTTCAGTTTCTCGATCTTTCTCTTCTCCTTCTGGCATCTCTACGATTCAGATGGCATTTTTGGAGATGTCCCAGAGTCTCCTTATGCTCTCCTCATGTTTTGTTTTGTTTTTTAAATTCTTATTTCTACATTCTGTTTGCTTGAATGCTTATTTCTTTCTTATGTTCCAACTGACTGATTTAAACCCCTGCTTCCTTCCCTTCGTAGTTGGTTCCCTGTGGATTTTTATTTCACTTAGTGTAACCTTTGTTTCATCCCTTTTGCTTTTGTCATACTCAATGAGATTTCTAAGCATCCTTATCATGAGCATCTTATACTCTGCATCTGATAGGTTGGCTATCTCTGTTTCACTTAATTATTTTACTGGGATTTTGTTCTTTTCTTTCAATTGAACATATTGCTTTGTCTCCTCAATTTGTTAGCCTCCTTGTGTTTGCTTCTGTACATTAGGTAGAGCTACTTTGACTGGTGCACCTGTTATGTTCTATGAGGTGGAGACTTAGGTATTTGCCATAGTGGGAAAGCCCAATTCAGCACTTTGTGGCATTGTATGTGGGGGAGGGACCCAGCAGGGGGCAATGCCACTGCCTGACCACTAGAGGCTTATTCCACACTTGCCCCACTTCCAGTCATTTATGTGACTGGCACCCCTCTAGCTGTTGCCCTGGTTGTAATCCCCAGAGTGGCTGGGCTTGTGTATGTTCTAGGATCCTGTGAGCCCTTTTTAATAGACCATCTTCAGAGACCTGTGTTTCTCTTTCTTTCCTTATCCGAACTGCTTTTTATAGCTAAGAGTTGTGAGACTTCATTTTCTCCATGCTAGGAACCCTGGGCTATGCAGTCTCACCTGGAGCTTGCCCCCCAGGTACCCCTAATGTGGGACCCCCCATTCCACTGGCTGCTGCCACCACCTGGTTGCCACCACCTCACTGCTGCCACACTGTGCCTACTCCACCCTGGATCCCCATCTCTACCCCTACTGCCCATCTGAGTATTCTTCTAAAATATGTCTTTTTTAAATCCTTGGTTGTTTCACTTCCATACTGTTCAATTTTCTGGCAGTTCTGGGTGATTTTAGTTTTGAGATTATCCTTATAAGGATATAAGGATATCCTTATTATCCTTAAGTTTTGCTCCTTATGGAGCAAAGCATGTTTGCCTATGCCTCCATCTTGACTAGAAGTCTCTAAAATTATATTTAACTAAATACCTTTGTAAGAGATATATTTATATCGAATTGGGCTACAGGGATTTCTTTTACTTTTTATGATATATCAATAATTATTTATAATATCTAATTTCAAAATATTTAATTAATAGCTTCCATCATTTGCACAACATCAAATAATTCTTTGAGGTATTGTTTTTCCTACCAAACTGCAGTATCTTTGTATATTATTTTCACTACATGAATTAATCAACAGGTTTTTAATCATAAATAATCATGATTTAAAGTCAACACCTCTAATGGGCTATTAAGACATTTTGAAAACTTCCATATTACTTATAATGATGTTAGAAAAAACAATATACAAAAAAGATTTTAAAAGCATCATCTAGTCATGTCATGCCTTGTCCCACATAACCATATTAATCATATGAAAATTTTTCTTGTTCTCCTCTGTCCTTTGAAACAAAGGACAGAGATAATAAGGGGAGTTTCCCTTTTATTCTGAGAAAAATACTCTGTGACTCTAAGCTGATTGTAATATCTAAAAAAAGAAAAAAAATGAACAGTACAATTGAACACCTTAAATGTTTCCAATATAGATTGATTTCATATAATAGTTTTATCTTTGACATAAAATACGTCTGAATGTATGAACTTAAAACACCAGCATAATCCACACCCCTGGTTTTCTTTAGAGATTCATTACATGGGCTGCCATTACATTGTAAACAGGAAAAAAATCCGTATGTGAACACAGTTTGTATTCAATTTCTATTTTAAGTGTTTGACAAAAAGTCTATATAACACAGCATATTTTATTGAATGAATATCTATTCTTGTATTTTTAAATCTGAAAGATGGCAAATGACTTGTTTTCACTCAGGAGATTATTATAACTCAAAATGAGAGCCATCTCAAACATAGTTTAGTGACTATGTTTGAGGTCTCATTTTTTTTGTTTGTTTCTGAATTTTAAAAAAGTAGTTAATGGGAACTCAGTAGCTAAACCTTTGTGAACAGAGAAGTTAGCGATGAAGTGTGGGGTCTGCCTTAGAATTAGATGGTTTTATTTTTCTTTCAAGATCAAAAATCAGGCCTATTTCTCGATAAAATATTGCAATGATCTATGCCTCTATCTCTTACTCATTTTTATTTAGGTTACAAGAACACATGTATCATTTCACTACAGAATGATCCAAAATTAAATAATTGATGATCTTTGTCATGAAAATATAAAGAGTAAATAGCTACAATATTTATATGTGGAATGACAAAAACAAATGGTCATTGTCAGCATTAAAAGAGATTTTTATTTTAGAACTTTATCCCTCTTACTATTCTAATTTGGAATAATACTCCAGGAATACATACATTTTAATTTTCCTCTCCATGTGTAAGATTCTTAAGATAATTCTCCAGGTTTATGCCACAGAATTAAATATATAATCATTATATCTGGCTTCAATTTGATAAATACAATAAGATTTTGACAAAAGAGAGCACTATTTCATTTTAATTGTTGAATAAATATAAAGCATACTGTTGAATTCTAGTTATATTAGATCTAAATAGGTGCATGTTCTTTTGTTTATGTCTTTTAGCATCTCCGTCAATTAAACTCTTGGTGGATGACCCTATAGTTGTAAATCCTGGAGAGGCCATAACATTAGTGTGTGTTACGACAGGAGGAGAACCTGCACCGTCTCTCACTTGGGTCAGGTCCTTTGGGATTCTGCCTGAAAAGACTGTTTTGAATGGAGGAACTTTGACCATACCTGCCATCACCTCAGAAGATGCTGGTACTTATAGCTGCATTGCCAATAACAATGTAGGAAACCCTGCAAAAAAGTCCACCAACATCATTGTGAGAGGTACGTTTGCCTAGAGATTGTGACAAATAGATTTCTGGATGAGCCAGGCTATTGCAAAGCAAATGCTGTTTGATATAAAAAAAGTATTCTCCCAACTATTGCATATATATGTAACATATACAGAAAATTGTTTATAAATAATGAATGATGTCTAATTATAAATGGATCCTAAAATTCCTAAATCTTAATCCCAGTGTCTTCTGTTTCAATTGAATAGAGTTTTCATGACATATTTTTAGTGGTACCATCGAATAGTTCTTATAATGTATTTTGAGTAAAAGAAATGATTAAAATGCAATTGTGGCATAGAACATCAAACATTGTTATATAGATCATGTATTAGTCTAGGAGTCTCACAGCTTTATCAATTTAATGGTTAATAATCACGATTGAATCCCTATTACAAGCAGAGTTTTAAATTGTGAAATCATATAGAGACCTATAAAACATTAACCTGTACTCAAGGATTCTATTGTCAGGTACTAAAAATAAAATGCATTAATGAATAGTCATATGATATAGCGTATGGCAAGCATAAGCAAAAGCTATAGAAATAGTAAAATATATAGTGGCCTCTGGCACAGGTTACTAGGGAATATCTAGTGATATTTTCACTGGGTCTTATACAGTGGGTAGAGTTTTTATAGACTGAGATTAAAGAGATACATGGAAAAGTCAGGGACAGTAATGGGCAAATTGTGTTTGAGTAATTGATGTAAAATGTGGGTCTCTAAGACAATAGTAGCAGGGATGTTCTAGTGTGGCTGCTGCCAGCTAGTGCGCTGGTGCTACATGTAAGGCAAGACACTTTCCCTCCTTTTTGGACGATTTACATTAATTGTGCAAAAAGAGAGCCTGCATCTTCATGTCTCACCAGCATGGTCCTGGGTTAGGGACAGAGGATGAATGCTGATTCCTTCCAAAGTTAAAGCAGGTATGCACATGCCCAAGAGGATTTTTCCAGCAGACAAATAAAAGGAAGGAAGGCAGATCAGCACACAAAGAAATGATATATGGAAATGAATAACAAGAGGAGGTCTACAAATAGAATTATGTTACCCTTTCTATTTTAAATATCGGCATGATGAAATGGGCCTTTCTAATTCCTTATCCCAGTGAGTAACTGCATCTGTTCACCTTCTACCCCACATTTTAAAAGAAAGTGAAAACTTTACAAATCACTGATGTATATCATTTCTGCTTTGTGTTTGCTTTCAAATACTTGCTTTTTCAAGTAGCTATGAAAAAATGCTACCAAGTCTTGCTGTGATAATTTTGATATTATTTAAAGCATTGAAAAACTATCCTTAAGGGTCATGAACACAGTGTAGAATCCTTTATTTCATTATTTTACCAAGGACAGGGACTCACCAGAGAAAAATGATGCATTAAATCTAGTTTGAAAACAGGATCATCCACAACCATATTGAATCCATGTACAAAAGGCAACATGTCCAGCATAAAATGTTTTGCTCAGGTACTCTTTGTAAAAAATGAACTCAATCCATAGAAAATATACACTCAGAGAATGACTTGCTCTTTCCCACCCTAACAGTTTTCATCTGAGCTCTTACAAAGGACAGTTTCCAACTTCAACACCTAAAATACATAAAGCCCTAAAAATGTATTAGTCCAATGTACAATTTCCATGCCTTTAATTCATTTGAAATACACATTTGCATAGTCATGTTACATTAACAGGGGAAGCTCTCATCAGAGGCATACATATAACTCACAAAGTCAAGTTTGAACATAATCTTACTGAATGTAGAAATAGTCTTGTTAAAGAGTCAGAGATTACGCTGTAGGGAGAAAAACTGCTACAACACTGTAAGGCATCTCATTTCTGCCACAAAGGCAAAGAAATGAAGTTAAATAAAAATGGTTTTCTTTTCATCATAGCAAGGAAATTATTTAAAAGTGCTCTGAATTCATAGACCTCTATAATGTCTTAGATTAACTGTGTCACGGATACAGTAGAAGTTGAACTACACATTTATTTTCTCCCCATTTTTGTTGTAATTAAATCAAGATCCATACATCATGTATTCTGAGGAAGAACAAGGATATTCTGTGTATAGAATGCTCATTAATATTTGAGAATATCTATAGACAAAATAAGAGTTCAGAGTATGTATAGGCATAAAATTTGAGAAAGATTTTTTAATTCATTCCTTGATCTTTTAAAAAATAGAAAATGCTTCAAAATAAACCATGTGGATAACATTCCATGTTGATAACAAGCTCAAATGTAAAGAGGGATATCGTATGTTTTAATATTATTTTAAAGCATTTTTCAGTATAACTGCAGTGACTTTTTGTCATCTTTAAAGGTAGTGCAATGACATAGCCACTTTTCTCCCATGTTAGGATAGAAGCAGTTGCTTAACACCATTTGTTAAGAAAATTATGTTGATTTCCTCACTTTGCGTTAGGTGGTCTGAGCTCATGGCTTCCCAAGTCCTGTTAGATGATACAACATTCCCACCTAAAGTTCCCTGTTGTTATGATTTGCTGTATTTAGAGATGCTCACATTTCTTTCCCTTTGTGAATTGAACCTGTGTTGAAGTAGCATTATTCATAACATGTTCAACACATTATTGTATTTTGTTGCTCTGTGGTCATTTTAACTTTCATACAGTGTCTCCATGTTTCCCTACCACAGGAAGAGTCAGGCAGACCCTGTGACCCTTCTGCTCATCTCACAAATAGAGACTCCTACAGTACATGTAAATCACAAGCACACATTTATTCAGTGTTTTAGATGCATGATCCAAAAGAGTATTAAAACTTAATTTAAAAATGTCCCCCCAGCCTAGCTTGGGTGCACTTTGGGCTGGAGGTCTCATCCTATGCAAAACCCCTCCATAGGACTGAGATGACAAAATAGACAGGTTCTCCTTCAGCCACCATAAGCTGGGAAGAAGGTGCATCTCACAATTTTCTCCAAAGTTATCCTTCTAAGCAAATTTGGTCTCTCACCCTGTTTCTACCTTTAATTTTCTATCAAGTCTAAGAATCATGGAACGGATGTTTTTAACTTCTTTTGAAAATTTTACATAAGAAGGTGTCTGTTCTGCACTCACTATGGAATTCTGTGGCTTCTATTCTCAGCAAAAGTGAGTTAGGAAAGTGCTAGTCTATTATCTAATATCATAAGAATATAGAAAGATTATGAGAATTTTCAAGATTTTAAAATTTGGTCAATCCATCAGCAGGTGTTCTTGTCCCAATCTTCAAACCATACTCTAAATCTGACCATATCTTGCCAGAATCACTGATATACCACTCTTGTGTAAACTATCTATTGTTCCTGTACTTGATTAAAATAGCCTTTTCATTATTTATCTTTTCAGTCCAGACTGCCTTTTAAGGGGGGGCTGTTTTTCTTTTTCACTGTGTTAGATAAGGTAGACTAGGCAGAGTTAAAAAATAGTCCCATGCAAGTAATTACTCAAAACAAAAATACTTCAGTTGTTTTTCATGAGAGAGTTCAGGATTTTACCTTGTTGATAATGCTGAGGCTGTTACTGTGTGTGAGATTGATGAGTGTATGTTGGGAGGTGGCTGTAGGAACAGAGACTCTACTCCATGCAATTACTCAAGCACCTGGACTGATGATACCTTGCTTCTGCCATCTTCAACTTGTGGTTACTAAGGTTGCTCTGAGCGTTAGCTCCTTTCCTGTCAGCTGGAAGTGGGAGGGAGCTTGAAGAAGCCCACACGGGAGATTTTAATGGGTCAGGCGTGCATTAGATCCAATCATGTTTCATTGGCTCGATATTAGGCACCTAGTTGCATTTGGTGTTGTGGAGGCTGAGAAATGTATTCTTACTGTGTGCCTGGAAATAAGAGGACATGGATTTCTGCCAACAGCTAACCCTCTGTGTTACATTCATGCAAGAGAAAGTGATTAACATCATCTCATTATCCCTATCAAATTCCTCCTATGGCTTCCCATCTTACCTACAACGGAATTCGAATTCATTACCATCATGTCACATCCCTCTCCTCTTTTAGACACATTATTCTCATTGTTCTTCTTCACAAATCAGTACTTAAATATTTACTGTTCAGCCTGGAATGTTAATTTTAAAATATTATCTCCTGGGAAATGGCTTTCCTGCCCACTTTCTCTTAACCCACTCCTAATTCCTTTGCATGATTTATTGTTTCTTCATATCATATAACTGTCTGGAGTTACTTTATACATATTTCTTTATTTATTGTTTATTTCTTTCTCATGATGATAGGCACAAAAATGCATCTGTTGTCTTATTCAGTGATATAGTGCTAAAGTGTAGAAAATGACTAAGCCTTTAAATAAATATATATTGAATGAACAAAATGTCTCTTTTAAGTTCACTGACTTATATTAGATGCTTTTTGGGAACAGCTGTCTCTCTTTCATAGCAAAAGTATATACTAGATGATATGAAGCAAAATTAGGAAATTCCATATCCATATTAAATCATATAACATCTGTGTGATGTGCCTAGCTCATTCCACGGGTCACATTCTTCTGATTATTCATTGCTTTGCAACAAGCCACCCCAAAACAGGAGCATAAAACAATAGCAGTCATTTATTGTGTTCACAAATCTTAGGATTAAAAGGTCAGCTAAAAAATTCAGAGTCTCATAGAAATTTCATTCAGAAGGTAGCTGGGGCTAGGGTCATCTTCACAGTGACCGTACATTCTTCCACGGTGCCTGTACTAAAGAGTCCAAACTGCCATGTTCCTCATGCTGGTGTACTCTCTCTCTCTCTCTCCTGATCGTTCTCTCTCTTCCTTCCTCCTTTCTTTTCTACCCTCTTCCCTCCCTCCCTCTCAGCCTCCCCATTCGCTCTCTTAATAGCTTCTCTCAGTAGTCTCGTTACATGTTTTCTCCACATGCCAGAATATTGGAATCCTTGCGCTAGGGTCTAGGAACTGCATAGGTTCTTCTAATCCAGCTTCTGAAGTCTATCTATATCCTTTCTGCACTCTGTTCATCAA